GCGAAAATGTATTTCGCCAACGGCAGGTGGAGCACGAAGTTCAGCGAGGGGGCAGTGTGTGTTGACCAGAAGCTGACGGTGGGCCAGACTCAGACTAGCACTTTCGCGGTAGGTGCGCCTCCTCCGTTTTTCGAATGGGATGCTCCGCGCAAAGACAAGAAGAACGCGAAGGGGAAGGTCAAGGAAGGGTACGAGGGGAAAGCGAAAGGGGTCAGGCAGTACCTGTGGGAGCGTGGGTGGTGGAAGGACGGCATGTCAACAGGGGCGGGAGTCAGTGACGATATGCACGTGGAAAAGGTTCTGCAAGCCTTGCCTGACTTTAAGAATGAGAGGACAGCCCTGCAGCACCTGGTAGAGAGTAGGGGACACATTCTTTTGTCGTCTCCGAAGTGTCACCCGGAGGTAGCGGGGGTAGGGATCGAGTACTCGTGGGGGTTTTCCAAGCAGAAGTTTCGGCGGAAGATCAATGATGAGGTCCCGAAGCACTTGCACGACAACATCGAAAAGTCGCTGTGCATAGACAAGTACTTGACAATCGGTCGGGTGCGGCGCTTTGCCCGGCGAACACGAGACTACTGCCGGGCTTACCGCGAGATTGCGCTTCGCGGGGTAGTCATCAGGAACAAGGAGTTCATCGAGAAGATGCGCAAGATCCAAAAGGCCCACCGCAACATTTTGGACATGGAAACTAGTTTTCTTGGCGACCAGTAACAACGTCGGCCGGCCGATGGCGAGGGGGGGGGGTCTCGAGTTGTGTGTGCATGTTTTGTTTTATGCTGTGAGAGAAGCGGGTGATGTGTGAGCTGTGTATTGTCGTTGTAGATTGTAGTCGGTGGCATGTACTTGTACATCGGATTTTTTTTCTGCGAGATAAACGGGTGTGGTGGGGGTGTGTGTTAAATGAGTCGGTTTCAAGCTGTAGTTTGCATCATTTTTTTCTGTAAGATTAACCGGTGCGAGAAGTTGTGTGTGTGTGTTGATGAGTCTGTCAGTTTGAATGTTGTTTTTAGATAAGCGGGTGTTTTTTAACCGCTGTCAATCAACGAACGAAGTGTTTTTTTTTATGTACAAAGAAACGTCAACTTTTGTGCGATTTGTGCAAAACATTTGTCATGCGTTTTTGGAGCGCTTACCTTCAGATTACAACCTCTTGCATGTATGTGTGTCACGTCATTACGATCGATAAGCACCCACACCTACCTGTCCAACCAAAGGGGTACAGTCAGCATCTGTGCGCCTCTTGCCATCAGGCCGCTTTCGCGTCCCTTTTCTCGGGCTGTAAGGCCTTCATTTTCCTACACAATTTCCGCATCTGCACCCAGGTATCGAGGTCATGACGCAATTTGCTATTTCCGAGCGGGTTTTTACGAATTGGAACCTGAAAATGTGATATGTGATTAGGAGTGGTCTTACAAATGCCCCCGAGTGAGATGCCGTTTTTTTTTTTTTAAGCCACAAAAACCTTTATGCTAGGATTCTCAGTTATTGAATATAGGGATACCTCGCCAAAAAAAAAAAAAACGGCATCTGACTCGGGGGCGTTTGTAAGACTGTTTTCAATCACATATCACAATTTCAGGTTCCAATTCGTAAAAACCGGCTCGGAAATCGCTTCTAACCATTTCGTTGACTTCTTGGCTGGCCCAGCTTGTACTCATTCAGCGTTTGTGTCAATGCTTTTGTGGTAGAAAATGAAGAACGCGACAGTGTTGATTCACGAGTGGAAATGTCGTTCGCGTGTTTGGTGGACTTTCTGGTCGACGACCGTTGTGGCTAAGAGGCAAGAGGATGGTGAGTGATTGAGGGAGCGCAACAACATAACGGCAGAGGATTGATTGATGGTTTCTGAGGAAGAACGGTATCTCTAGAAGAAACGATAAGCGACTGACCAGGGCACACAGCCACACCTGCTATCCACAAGCGTTGCGAAGGCTTGGGTGACCGTCAACGACAAGTTTCCGACATACGAACACGCACGGCGGCACTGCTTTGGCGCACTGCCACACGTACCTCCTGGATGTCCGCCTCGTTGCTCCTGCCGAGGAGCCTCACTTGGTGCTCTGCCTGGCGTCGCTCCTCCTCCACCTCTCCCTCCAACGAGAGCTGGTAGTCTCGGGCTTCCGTCTGCACCTACCCGCCCCCCCCAGAGCAATTGCGCAAGTTATCAGGCGCGAGGTAGAGCGGAAACAACAACCACGAGTCCAGCTTAGCGAGCTTGGAAAATATGCTGCCGGGTATGGGGGGGCTCTACGATAAAAGTGGTGTCGCTCCGGCTCAAGTGGAACGCCGGTGATCACTGGCCTGACAGCGACCAAGAGTACCGACAGAAGGAAAAAGCGACAAATGTCGTTTTTTTGTACCTGCCCTCTCCGCCCCCCAACAAGAAGCCCTCACGCATCGACACGAAGCGTACGCGTTGTGATAGCAGAGCAGTTTCGTGTTTCAAATTGTATCGCAACCCGTGTCGGTGTGCTCGCTCTCGTGCCCCCCTGCGGGAGGATCGCAAAAGAAAAAAGAAACAGAATGCCAGGAGTCTCGTCGGCAGCAATCTCTTTCTCTCTCTCTCCCGCTCTAGCGAGGCTAGCAGTAGGAAAGCCAATACAAGCCAGCCCCAAGAGAAGATGCGGACTACACATTTTCCAACCTTTTCGGAGCTCTCTCGTTCTAGCGAGGCCTGCAGGCCCAGCAGCACCTCCCCCAGCTCATCCGCCCGGGCCCTGGCCTCCGCCCTGTTGGCCTTCACTAGTTCCGTGAGCTGCGGCTCCAGGGCCCGCACTGCCGCCTGCTTGATAGCCCCGGCCTTTTTCTCGGACAAGCGCTGGAGCCGCCTCTGTGAAACGCAGGAAGTGTGTGTATGGAAACGGTTCAGACGCTCTCAACCTTAAGGGCTGTCATCATCATCATTGTCGTCGTCGTCGTCGTCGTCGTCGTCGTCGTCGTTATTATTATTCTTCGTTTTTGTCGCCCAATAATTTGCGCGAATTAGCAGAAAAGGTTTCGTCGTTGTTGCTGCTATTTTTCTGCCAAACCTGTGTGGGTATCAAAAACGTTGATCTCCAGACCGGAGGACCTACGATTCGGGATTCAACACATACACACACACACAAACACACACAAGGGTCTTCCTCGCGGCGCGTGCCTCGTGCTGCGCGTATGTATGTGTGTGTGTTTTCGTCCTATTTGTTATGGCGACAGTCCCCCCATTTTTGGTGGTGAGACGTGTACTTCACTTTTCAGCGTATGTAGAACACTACACGTGTACTTTTTCGCACAACTACAACCATCCAGGGCCACACAGGAGGGGGCAAACACCAGGGCTTTTTTCTTCTTTTTATTTCTTTTCATGTCCCACCTTCCTCCTTCGGTGCGTGCTGAATTATTTTTATCGCGAGAAGGGTCCAGCCGTCCCTTTCCCTCGTCAACGGTGCTAACGTCGAAGTTTGGTACTCACGAGAGCTTATCAGCTGTATTTCGCTTTCACCCGCACATTTCGTAAATTCTTCACCCCATGGGGATTCGAACTCACGACCTCTGCGACTCGCGGGCTACGAGGATACTACTAGACCACCGGGGCGACTGGTGTGTGTGTGTGTGTGTGTTTGTGTGTAGACAAGACGTGTCGCGCGTCCTACGCTTTGAGCTATCGTTCGTGTGCCTTACTGTATTCTGCGAGGCAAAATAGGGTGTGAGGAGTAGAGTCCTCGACTGGACAGTGGAGAAACCCTCTCTGTGTTCTCCTACGTCGAAGCAACGCTCATGTGTGTGGCCGCTGGAACAGGATGCGGTGCGTTCGTTTAGTGACCGTCGCAGCATTGCGTTGGATACTGCCACTTTGCTTCGTTTTGCGACAGCTTGTGTATCCCGCTTCGTACCTCCATCTCCCTCTCTTCCTTCATCGCGGTGGCGCTGACGTGTGTGCGTGGGGGGGGAAGTACCCTTACTTGTATGCATGCCTTAGCGATTAGACCATTGACCACGCGTCCTCGAGAAGAGGGAGCATACTTCCCACAGGACCGATCACCGATGGCTAATCGTTCCCTTCCTACTTTGCCAAAGTGGCTCAAAAATGTGTTCCCTAATCTGTCTATCCTAACGATATCCCTTCCCGCCTTTTCAACCCACCTCCTATGCCCCAGTACAGCTACCTTATTCTCTTGGCTATTCCATACCCCAAGTATCTTCCTGTACCTTCCTTCTGATTTTCCCAGCTCAGTCATGTACTCTTCCCTCTCCTTGTACAACCGACTTTTCGCAGCGACATGAACACGATCTTCGCACTCGCAGCCGCAATCACATTTGAACTTGTTGTCTTCATCGTCTACCTTCCAAAATCTTCGTCTCCGTTCTTGAAGGCCAATACCCCCGGTCCTGAGTGTGACCTTCAGCTTCGTCCCTGCATCCATTCGTCCATGTAGGTACTCCTTGAACCCTACTCCTTTTTTCAACATTCCGTACACTTCTAGATCCTGTACTTTTACAAATTCTCCCCGGACTCCTCATTCCGATATTGCATGAAAACTTCTCTACGTACCCCTTTTTATTCTTTTAGCTTGTCGGCGCTGGCGTACGGGGAGGCATACCATACTCCCTTCCTCGGAAAAAAATCCTGTTGCCTGAGTAGTTCATTGGATAAATGATGTCTTTCATACCTCACATGCTCTACTCTAGGCCACACAATGAGAGGACAAAATGCTCAAGAGTGGCCTACCCCCCCCACCTTCTCTGCGGCCATCCACGCCTCTCGCGCCTTCTTCAGCTCCCGCGCGCTCTCCGCCCTGGCTACGACGCAGTCCCGGTCTCTACCTTCACGGAAGCGGCCGACCTGTTGATTGATCGGTCGGACGAGCGACACTTTGGTTGGAATGTAGTCGGCCAACGTGAGGGTTGCACGCTTGGCACGATGCTTCGTATACTCGACAACCGCGCGCGAAGGTGCGCAAGCATGTCTTGGCAATAAACAGGAACAGTTGACAATACATGTCCATCCAGCAGTAGCATCAGAGACGCAGGGAGGTATACACAAGCCCTACTGCTGCTGTTGCTGCACCAAGCGCGAAACGACTCGCCTGTCTCTCTAGACCACCCAGCTTCTCCTCCAAGGCGTCCACGTCACCCTTCAGCTGCCGCGCGAAGGCCCTGTGCCGATCCGCCGCCGCCGCCCTCTCCTCAGCGGCCGCTGCCATCCTTGCCGCCCACCGCTCAGACACCTTCGCCCGGCGGCGTTCGTTGGAAGCTCGCACGCGCTGCAGGTTCGTCTTGAGATCTAGCACCTGTTGTTGTGAGCGGTTTGTTACTCGGTTGGTACCTCGTATGCTACTTGGACGGGACTTGCAGCTATCTCCTTACAGGAACTGAAGAAGTGGCCATCCGCGGAGGGCGAAACAAGAGGCACAGTAGTTCCTCCACAGGCAAGACTGCATCGCCTTTCACGACCGTTTGACATCCGTGTAGTCGACACTCTCCTGTCCCCTGGTTTGATCTGCCGCATTCAGAAAAGAGAATGATACTGCTGTACACCATCCTGCAAAACAACATTACACTGGGTATCAACAATCTGCACACCTCGGATCTCCTCTCCTTGAGGTTCACTTTCATTGCCCGTGCGGTGGCCTGCACGTCCTCGAACGCCTTCATCGCCGCCGGGGTGGCCTCACCACCATCAACATTGGCCGCTGCTCTGTCATTGTTCCGGCCCCGAGTCGACGACCGCGTCGTCCGGTCGTGGTCAGTCACAGGTTGCGAAATTTCGTCAAGTGTAGCGGAGGAAGAGTTGGAAGCACGACCGGGCGACGTTTTCTCCGATAGAGACGCGCGCGGCGCCACTGGTTGCTTCGACTCTCTGCAACTGGTGGAAAAACTCGCTTCGCTGTCGTCCCACTCATCCCACACCCATCGCTGCCGGTGCGCTTTCCCACCAACGGTAGATGTTGCAGCCTCCGTTCTCGTTTTTGTGCTGTCGTCTGGTGCCTCCTCCACAGAGTCGTCAAAATTACTCCACTCGCCGCCGCCGGCCACGTGGTTGGCATCAGGTATGGAAAGGAAACCCCCGCGGACATCCACCGAACGACGGTGGTTTACTACGTCTCGGTGAGGGTGGCTTCTCGCTGATGGGGTCGACGCCGTCCTATTTTGAATATCTCGACCCGTGGTGTCACCTACGCCAAAGGGTGAACCGCGTAGGTCGTGACCACCGCTCGCTCTACATGTAGTGCTGCGCTCAGGAGGTGCCGATGATGTCGACGTCGGCGTTTTGTCGTCCTTGACTGAGTTCTTCCACGGGGTCCGGGTTCCAGCAGCTGAAGCCCTGTTACGGCGGTAGGATGATTGCGAAGGCCCTCTTGGCTGCTGTCGGGGTCGCCTCCGACTCTGTTGTTGCTCTGAAGATGAGATCGACGACGGCGACGACGAACCACTACCCAGCCGAACCGTTGCGTGGTCGTTGATCCGCTGGCCGCGGTGTTGCTTCGGCACATCATCTGATACGTGATCCAAATATGCCAGGATGCTGCTGAACTTGCCAGATTGTTCAACAGGCCTAGGCCTAAGCGCGAGACCCGTACCCCCTTCGTCGCGAATATGCATACCTCCAGACATGATTCGCCTCTTTCTTCGAAAGAAACCGTACCAACATCAAGAGGGACTTGCACTGCCTGAATAAGACGGGAGGACTGAACGGGTATATTGAAGGCCCTTGCGGTGGAGGTTCGATTGAGCCGGCTAGTGAGGTTCTTGCGGAAACTTTTTGGTCGAAGATCCTGTCTCATGGGAAGTTTTCGCACTGCAGACTGTAACCAAAAGGGCGGCACCAATCTTTCGTTCGGGGTTTCCAACGATCTAGCATCAGGATTATGGTTCTCACGTGACGTTTGTTCCGTTTCATTTGTTGTGGCGTGGCAGGAAGAGAGAGGACAACAGAAGGTTACATGTTACATGTCGGGTCGCCCGGTGGTTTAGTGGGTAACCTCGCAGTCTGCTAAGGGCCAGGTCATGGGTTCGAGTCCCGGCAGAGTGAGTTTTTTTCTCACGACATATATCCTGGTCTAGGATGAAAGCGACGCGCTGCAAAGCTCGTTGTTAGTAAATCATAATCGACTTCGTAAGTCGCGAGGGAAGGGATTGCTGTACCCTTCTCGCGATAAAAATATCTCAGGCAGGAACCGCAGGCGGGGGTCCAGCCCCCCCCTCCTGTGTGACCCCGGTTGGGTCGTCTAGCTAGTAGAAGTGGAGGATAGGGGCCAGAGGGGCAGACGACAGAGTCCATGATGGGAGAAAAAAATATATAGATCGATATATCGGAGGCAAGAGCAAGTGGAATGACACACCCACAAGACATCGGTGGTGTGCCTATTTTGAACGATGGAGCGACCAAAAGCTCTGTAGGTAGACCATCCAATAGCGTCACTCAAATCAGCTGTGGAGAATAGTATTCAATGAATGCAATATAATAGTTACTACACTGCCAACTCAAGCGTGAAGATTCGATTTTCCGTTTTGTTTGGTCTCGAGCAATGCCGGGTGCAACAGTCTTTCTGTGTTCGAAAAAAAAGACGGTGAGGTGTATCAGGCTGTACGTATATAGTCTGAATGTGGTTTTTTGGGTACAGTATCTTTTCATGAAGTCAGTGCAGTGGACATCATTGTATGCAAGTCTAGGAAAAGAGTTACCCCGCGATCGTGTACAACGGGAGTGAGTGTGAAACTACAAGCAAATTACGGCAGCACGCAGCACCGATTTTTTGCCTCTGGCACTGCGAAGTGGTACGAACAGTGATAGTCTCATTAATACCAGTGTCTACCAAACGAGCGCGGCTGGCTACACCTACAACCGAACGCGTCACACTTACACCTTGGTTCAGGCTCTAAAAAGCTGAACGCAAGAGATCACAAGACCCTGGTTGCGCAGTCACGAAGCTACACCAAAACCTATATGAAGTCGAGATTTTTTGGGGGTTACCCCACAGAGAAACGAGCCTCGATCGGATGCAAAATATGAGGTCCTTGTAACAATAGTGGTGGCGCCTACTTCTGTAGAAGACTAGACTAGTTATCGCCGTTCACCGCGTCTAGCCTTTCTCGTGGCTTCCTGGCATTCTACGCTAAAAACTGCCAAGAAGCCACGAGAATTCTAGATGGCGCAAGAAGGTACATGGAACCAACATTCCCGAGCAGATATAAATACTGTACTGTGCGAATGGAGGAGTCTTCGCCCCTTCAATCCTTAGCACCCCCCCCCCCTTAGGGAGGTATATAGAAGTATATCAACACACCAAAAGGTAACCTTATTGCTGAAACAATTGTGTGCATTTGTTGTTCTCAATGTACAGATCTGAGTACGTTGCAGTGGGAGTGAAACTTGCTACGGCAGAGCATGAAACCGGCCGACCAAGCCATGATGGCGTCTAGAATACAGGAAGCGTGACGACCGACGTAGAAGCACATGCATGTCCCCCACACCTTAGACGTATAACATTCTTAATGGGAACTCATGAAATATAAACCATAAGACTATAGCAGATGTACGCCAACATGCTACTAAACCAAGCCAGCCAACGTGGTAACTGACTCGGAACAAAAGACAACCCGGGCGCTAGCAACACAAGATTTTATGTACAGGCGTTGCCGCTATGCTGAAAGCCTCCGTAGACGGGGGAACACTCTCCCCCCTTTCCATCCCCATACACGACATACTTCGTATCCTACGAATAATCGCACACACATGAACATCCATGACTTGATTACGCTTGTGACGCCAACGTGCAAGGCGAATCGAGCACGCGAATTGAAGCCGGCCTTGCCAACCAGTCGATACCGCGAGCAGCGTGGGCATGTAAAACACGCAAAAAAAAGCTAGACACTCGTATGTAGCGCCACACTGTGGTCTGGCAGGCGCTACCGTATGCACAGAAAACCATCGTGGTACAAAGAAAGGCGGCAAAACAACATACAGCACACAAATACAAGGTCTGATGATCAACATGCAACATACAACCTTTCCGCTCTGGGAGCTCCGTCTCATAGCGGGCGAACGTAATTTACGCACTACTGCTTTATCCTCCCCCTCCACCCCTGTACCACTTTTCTAGAGGCAAATAATCGCTCCCCCCCCCCCCCCCAGTCCTCCCGTAACAAAAAACAGCCCGATCCAGTCCAAATCTACCTCTGAACGAGCTAAGCAAACCCTTCCTCACAACAGGCAAGCGCCCTTGTCCTCTACACATGGGTTGTACAACACTCACGTGGGTTGTACAGACGCCGACCTGCGTGTACTCCACGACCCCTACTAAAATGTTGAATATTGCGGTAGTGATAAAGAAAGAAAGCCTCCGCCCCCCCCCAAAACGTCTACCTGTTTCGTCGAGAAGAAAAGCAACAACACGACACAATATCCAACCTCATTAGAGCCGGATGGCCTCTCATCGCCTTGTAGTTCTTCACGCCAGAGAGGGGCAACGGCAGCAGGCACATAGCCCACATGCGACGAAACTCGCCCGTACCACAGTAGTGCCCAAAACAATGTAAATGGCGAAGGCTGGTGGCTGTCACAACTCATTACAACACTCCCGCCGACAGAAAACACGCCCGGCACACCGCCTTCTCGGCAACAAAAAGCTGCACCAAACAACACAAGATGCATGGTTCGTGGACCAATCCAGACCCCATTCCCCCGAAGGCATACTTTTCTTAAAACCTTCCACTACTGACTTATCGTTCAGCATACGACTTGTCGAAAGTTCATGTACGCCTGGGACAACAACCGCACCAAGGATGTCGGGCGGAAGGGTAGACCACTACGCTCGGGGGATACAAGGATGGGCGATGGTCTATGGAGAAAGAGGAGCGTGCCACCGCTACTGCTGTATGTCGGCGAATGGCCTGTGTTCGTGTCGCTGCGCGGTGGAAAAACGCACGTATGTACAACCGCCCTCCCTTAATGCTTAACCAGATCAGTACACAAGAGACCGTACAACAACAAGGAAATCGACCACTACCTTGGACTGACAAGCGAAGATATGAAGCCCGGTGAGTCGCACACCGGGGGGGGAGGACGAGGAGCCGCAGCGCCCCCGCTGCCGGCAACACCGCCGTTTCACATGGCCCTGCCTCGCGCCATCCGGAGCGATCCACCGAGCCGGTACCCAGCCCACGGCATGGTGGACGTGATGCCCATGGTTCCGCCGCCACCGTCGTCGCGAGAGGAGGAGGAGGAGGAGGAGGAGGAGGAGGAGGAGGTCGCCGACGAAGACCGGAGAGCCGGCAGGCCGAAGTTGCGGCGTCCGCCGAGCGGGAGCCGATCCGTCGCGGTCGTCGGTGGCGCCTGCGTAATGGCGTTTTCGACCGTCTTTGTCGCCCTCACGACATCGCCGCAGCTGCCGGTGCTCAGGCCGCCGCTCCTGCTGCTGCTACTGCGGAACATCCTGCTCGTGGCGGCAAACGGCGTCTTGGTCGGGGGAGGAGGAGAATTCTCGGAGCCGCCGCTCACGCCTCCTCCCCTGCTCACCGTCGAAGCCGACGCCATCTCCGCCCCTTCCCCTCCTCCTACCCAACTCGCCATGCCCGACCCGCCCCCGCCGCTCCCCAGCCCTTTGATCGACGCGACCAGTCTCGACGAGAGGTGCCGTTTGCTTTCCATGGACGATGAACTTCCCCTCGTGCCTCTTCCTCCTTCCCACGAGGGCTGCTGCTGCTGCGATGTGAGCGGGCCGACGACAACATTACCGTCCAGGTCTGTGAAGCCGATCGTGCGCATTTCCTGGAATGATATCAAGGGTTTTCCATGGAACAGCCCGTGGGAGGGGGGGAGGGGAGGTACCCCAAGTTGGAGGATGATCTTACGGTTTTCAAGCAAGGTTTGCACACGAAGACCATCGTCAGACGGTAAATACCTCCAAGAGGTGCTCTCGCAGCCGTGAACAGAAACGAGTACAGGAGGAGCGACAGAGTTTCAGCGAAAAACTGCTTTGAGGACGCCGCGCTGTTTCTAGGGCAACCAAATGTACGCGACACTTCCCTTTAGTAAAAATATTGCCCACCAATTTCTGATCAAATTTATTACGGGAACAGCCGAGGCCGTGGGAGGAGCTTCCCTCACAAAGCATACGACACGGTAGACCGCATATTTGCGTCCAGCTGCCTAATATCCGCGCCGCTGTGCAAACATAGACAACGAAATAACCAACCCGAAAAAACTAGCGTTTCCGTTCGACCGGATGGCCATTGATTCGAGCTCGTCGTTTTTTTTCCCACAGAAGGACCTCATCACAACAACCCTCGACCAAACCACCAAACCACAACGCCACCAAACCCAACACAGACACAGAGTTATAGGTAATCCGCTAGCGCGGTCGATGTAAATCAATGGAACACAAAGTCGTGCCTTCATTAGTCAGCCGGCGATGCTCACAACAACGAAGCACACACGTACACTAACCTCGGTGTTCATCATGGCGTGAAACTCCTCTGACACCAGAAAACGCGGCCACAGCCCGTCGAAGATTACCGAATGCACCTCTTCCGCTAGCCGCGCCAGCGCCTCGATGGCCTCCTCCGCCAGGGCCCACGCGCAGGAGGTCCCCGGGCAGCAGCCCTTCTCTCCCGCGTTTCCCCTCCCGCCGCCTCCGCCGCCGCCGCAGCAGCAGCAGCAGCTGTCATGACCGGCGGCCTTCAGGGCCGCCTCGATGGCGCAGAGTGCGCTGGCGCGCGTGGAGCCCTTGACGTTCACCTCGGTGGCACTGTTGGGGTGCACGAAGGCGGCCGCGACTTGGCGGAGCTTCTTTCGGAGGTCGCCGGCGGTGGTCTCCTCCATCTCCAAGAGCTGGTTCACCTCACGGACCTGTGCATGGGTGCGGGCGCACGACGAGAGAGGGAAAGAGAGAGGTGAAATATTTAGTGCATTGCTTGGTTCCGGCGGCGCAAGGGCGGCAAAAACAAGTGCACATGCAGCGATAACGAAATTTCATCACTTTCGGTGGGCACTGCAATACTACGGGAACTACGTCACTCTTGTGTGTAGATAAACACGACGTATCTTCGCATTGCGAGCACCATCGTCGGGTACACACATGATTTGGATGGGGTTGTGTTCGAAGAGGTTTTATCGGCACGTTGTCATTTAGGTGCGCAACCCTGGCAACGTCTCCGGCCAGACACACACAGCGCCAGGCATTGGAGTGAAAAACCACAACATGCCGTTCTAGCTTTTCGATAGCAAAACCCTGGTGCGACTAGTTCCGATGTACAGGGGCGATGTCGAGTGAAACATAGCGAAGGGTCTCTCTTGCTGCACGCAGTATGTCAACCATCCCTGTCTCAGGGGTAAAAGATTATTGCGAGGTTTGCGCCAGTCGTACATCTTTTGCTACTTGGCGTGCTATCATTAATCTTGTAGCACATGCGTATCGCCGCGTTATCGTATCTTTCTCGTTGTTGGCGTTCGCGGCTTTGTTCGGTAGCATCATCGCATCTTGTAAGGGGTCATCATCGTCACACCGGTGTGCCTGTATACAACACCATCCGTATGATGACACCGGTGCCAAATGATTGCAAAAATCACGCCGTCCTAGCCACCGCCTGGTGCAACCACATTTACCCACGGGTGCGAAAACTCCCCGTGGGTGAGAAAAATCCCGATGGGCGTGTTCTGTCGAATGAAATGAATAAATGGTTGCCGGGCTGTTTTTCACGGCTAACATGAGCCAGAACACGCCGCATACATACGGGTACTGCTGTGTAAGATACCACCACCCACACGACGTGATCATAGTATTTAAACCTAACAAGTGTCACCACTGGGATATCTCGTGCGGTACACGGCACCTCTCTCCACCCAGTCTGTCTGTAGTTCGGAGGAGATGAACACGAATGGAGTATCCTATACGCATGTATGCTATGCGAACGTACGACGCGAAAAAACACTACACATAGTTTGCAGTTTGCTGACATCATCGAAAAGTGTCCGCAGGCAAAGCCTACTTTAGAGGTGGTGTATCAAGCAACGACCCTCCCGCAGGAGGGCCTAGTCCGTGTGTCCTCTTTTTTATTACATGCGGCTGAGAGCACGTCCCCGTTGCAGACCTCCGCGAAAGACAACATCATGACGATGTTTCACCGCCCTCCGGGCTGCTCCACACTCCTGTGAGAAGATGAGGGTTGCCATTTCCAACATTTACATGGAAACATGCACAGCGCACTCGATACACATCACCACCACGAGTATTCCACAGCACCGAGCGCAAACAACCGCCGCCACTCTATCTCTGAATCTGCCCCTGGTAGACGGCGTTCGTTGTCGCTCGGCATTTTCCGCTTTCCGTTGTTTTTTTACCGTGGCCGTGGTTGGTGAGAGAGTTTTGTTGTAATGAAGGAGTAGACGAGTTGGTCTAGACTCACACCAACCTGCAAACTCCTTCACGCATTTATTTGTGTCGCATACACTACTGCACGACTACTGCGCACAGTCTAATCACCAGGCGGTAGTCCGCGCATCGCGAAGAATCAAACTATGCACAAGAGAAACGAGCGTTTTCGCCGTCCCCCGCCCGCGTTGCACGCACACGCTCACCTGTAGGACAAACTCCACGTTCTCTGAGGACAAGGTCTTGTTGCAAAACGATGAGAACGCCATGTACACCAGCCTGTTGTCCATGGCAGCGTGGAAGTTCTCCTCGCGCCTCCCCCGGTGAGACGGCTGCCCTCCGCACTGATTGCTACAGCTGGCCGGGCTCCCCGCTGCCGCCGTCGCCTTCGGCCAGGAGGCGGCGGAGAACACGTTCCGCGGCGGCGAACTTTCGAAGATGTTGTAGGTGGCCGGGTCGTCGTGGTAGGTCACCGCGGAGTTTGCCGCCAAGTGTTCAGCGTCTTCGGCCGCGAAAAGATCTGCTGGAGATTTGGTTCCCAACGTCGCCGATCCTGCCGCCGCCGTGTCCTTGTTGCCTGAAGACCGCGACCGCGCTATCATCCCGCGCAGCCCCCCGAGAAGAGCGATCTTCTTGGACCGGGAGGTAGACCGGGGCTGCCGCCGCTGCTGCTGCTGCTGCTGCTGCTGCTCTTCCTCCTTGCAGATGGCTTCTGCTCTACCAGCGTAATGAGTCGCGGGGACGCCAAGGAGGCTGTCGGTGGACCTCATTCTTGGAGGCGCTGCGGTCTCCACGGCGGGCGGAAGGTTTTCCGATCTCCGACGCGACGTGTACGGAGCCGTGGCTGGCGGATAACTCGACATGCCAGGGACTGTATTTGCGTGGAGTCGTGAGGGAAGGCAACGCCTCTGTCGTGCCAGGATATTATGGATGATACCGGCGCGTTCTGACTCCGCCCAGATTTTTGAAGGAGCAACCGCCGGCAGAAAACGAATCCTGCTGGCTGAGCTCACACTGAACACAAAGGCAGGGAAACAGGTGTAGCGTAGCTATGCGCACTACACGACACGGGGTATATAGGAAAGGTCCTCAGGAAGTACCAGTGGTCAACCTTTAGTCTTGCAGCGTTGTGTCGTGCGTAACAAGAGACGCCTGGAAGAACGGAACACGAGAGGAGTCCTGGAGAGAGAAGAGAGGCAGCGGGCGTGTACCGCACAGCAGAAGTTAAACCGCTCGCGGGAGGGTTCTGGTCAAAGGAACGAAAGAGACAATATTTTCAGAGTAGTTTCTTGGTGGAGGCCAAACCCAGAACAATATTGTCAAGCAAGCATGTCCACCCAGCGCCAACCCCTGCTGGTGTATGTGTAGCACACCCATGGTGTGGGTCTGGGGTTGTCAGGAAGCACCCTATAGCACCTATCCAAGCAACAGGCAACACCAACACCGATGCCAAACTTAGCTTCGTCGCATCAACGCCAACCTCGCGCTTGTCTATCGGTGGGTACACTCTATTTAGCATGGAAGTTTGCAGAATTATCCCATGAACACGCCAACCGACATCTTTGATGCCAGCACACCAACCTACAGAACTCCTCAACACAGTGCCAAACTTGCACCCACGTTGTGTGGGTTTGGTTTGTGGTCAGGGGCTGGGTTGAGCGTTACGGCCTTCGGCTGGGTTCAAGCACCCGTCAAGAGTCGGGGTCTGTTGTTTTCCCTGAGGAAGCGCCAACCACGAAGCAAATAATCCGTGATCTGTTGCTCCTTCGGACAAATACGTGTGGGAGGTGGGACGCACCCGCCGTAGGCTATTATCTTACCGACGTCACTGCCGCTCTAGGTGACTGGTTGGCAAAAAATATTCGATACACCCATGTGAACGCACATAAGCCATGCACCCACAACGTTTCTTACCAACAGCACCACCCAACCACACAACCTACCCGCGTCACCACCAACCTAGCACCTATCCAAGCCATCCCACCCTAGGTCGATCGCATAAACACCAACCTAGCACCTATCCATGCAATACCAACCTAGAGATTATCCCATCAATACCAACCTAGAGCCAAATGCTGGCACACCAACCTAAATCTGAGCTGCCCAGCGCCAACCTAGCCCCAATACCGGGACATCAACCTAAAACTGAGCCACGCAGAGCTAACCATGCCCTAATGCAGGTACAACAACGTAGAAGTGAGCCACCCAATGCCAACCTAGCACCTATTGGGTCGGTTTGGGGTTAGGGTTAGGGTTAGCGGTAGGGATTTAACCGGGTTCATGCAGTTGCTGCTTGGAGGGAGAGAAAACCGCGCCTGTCTGCCTGTAGTGGAGCGACAGGTTGAAGTAACAAGAAAACGTACATGTTCGCGACGCTCGTTCCTCAGACAAGATTTTCGTCGGTAAAAAAGGTGTGGGTGCATATAATTTTTCGGCGGGATTGTTCAACTATTATTCATTTTTGTTCCCATCGCTCACTTGGCGGTAGCAGGCGACAAGTTGTCGGGCAGATGCCCGGTTGGCCAGTCGGGTTATCTCCAAATCTCAAAAAAGTGATTGAAACGTACTTCGGAGATCTGTAGATCACACGTGGATACGTGTGGATCCAGCTATTATTATTCCCACGGATCGCACCACGTGGATGAAACTGTATATTCGCGCTGATCGTACCAGAGACCATGATCATCTTGTGTCCCCTCGTTGTCTCGAAAAGTCCCCTCTGCAGACGAGAGTTCAGTGAATAACTGCCTCTAGGTTGGCGTTCAACCTCTTTTGTAGATAGTAACAAGCATAAATGCAAAGACCATGTATCTATCCCTGACAGATTTACTACCCGTCGGCGTTTGTGACAACCTGAACAACCCGCTGGAAGCTCTGCACCTTGTTGTCCACTCAGCCAAGGGGCCCTCCATGTAGAAACCGTGGAACCCGCCCCCCGGGCGCCAAGATTAAGATCGACACGCAGGATAGCCTCTCGCTTCAGGCGGCTCACTTGCAGCAGTCTGCTGAGAGTATAATTTGATGTGTCCACAGCAAAACCACCGTACATTCATTGTTAGGCTTTTGTGCCGCATTCAAAAACCCATATAAAACTCTCTTGAACTTCTACAGGCCTTAATAAAAAATCGTCATATATGTGCATTCTATATCCTTTACCATACTTAAAGCCCCCCCCTTCCTCGCGACCAAATTTGACACGTAACCATTCAAGATTCCTATACGGAGGGCCCCTTGACAGAGTTACAGGTTACAAGAGGAAGAAAAGAACGGCTAAATAAATACATGTACAGCAGCAGTACAAATTCTTGTAGGATTGCGGTTATCGGTGGGGAGGCCAAAATTACACAATACCACCATCTGCAAGGATTTGTTCAACAATAAACCTCTGGAGGGACATTTCCCCGTCAGCAGAAGGTCTGTCCGTTACTATTTCTCCTCGTATCAGAGGCCATCCAAGTTATCGTCATCTTCGTCACATTCCGCGCCGTCACCGTGGCCGCCTGTGGTCTGGTGTACCGTGGTGAACATGTGCCATCAGAAATACATTGGTTTGACGGATTGACCATTTTGAAGGTTTGGAGCCGATGCGCGTGCTGGCGGCGGGGTTGGCGATCGAGGTGCGAGGATTGGGGTCAGTAGGCTGTCTGCAGTGAGTCCACAGGCTGTTGACAAGGGTTCAGCTGCACTTTCATCGACATAATACTGGACTAAATTCGGACTTTTAAACGAGAACACGGAAACGAAAACGATACGATAAACTATTCTTCTGAGGTGATGCCGTGGGATGCATTTGCGGCTCAATCAAGAGCACACGTAACTCTGTATCGCGTGCTCGCCAGAATCATGACTGGAACGATCCTAGCGACCATACACGACCATCCAACCCGCCGAAAATCCGGATACAAGTTCTGATGCCGTGACAGCAGTGGAACGTCAGCGAGGAAACACATCGGCCCGATAAACGTCAAAAGGCAAACAGAAAAAAAAAACTTGGAAGAAGCAGTTTGTGATGTGTAGGGTCACCTTTGAGGTTCGGGGTGAATAAGAGGAGAGCCTTGCGCTCGCCCGCTTTCAGCACACAGAACCGCGGGAACGCGGCGAGCGGGCGCTGGGGTCTCGCAACGATGCGCAAGGAGGCGGCGACCCACACTACACGAGGGGATCCACCTGGATACATGGACAGCAACAGTGAGGCGCTTCATCGGTGCGACGGACACTCTTAAAAGAACGACGTGCGGCTTGAAAATTAGAACCAACACATCCACGTCATTCGACCACAGATGGCACGCAAGCCTCCAAAAACAGAGGGCCGATTGATCACATGCGTAAGCGCCTAAGATCGAATGCAATCGGCATTTCCGACTAGGGCGACGGCGCTATAGTCAAGGGCTTGCAGAAGACGATCACACCTATCAGTCAAGATTCACACCAATCGGTGGTGAAGTTAGCCGAATGATGTGCCTGGGTTCAAGATCCTTCAACGTACAGCGGTTGCTGTTGTCGACGAGATCCCAGGTCTAGTCGTCAGCGGGGCCCGCGAGTCTCTTCAGGCAGAGGCCGCACTGAAACTTTTCAATCGGTGCGCGGAAAGCTGATTTCGAGAGGAACGGAAAACAAGACACGGGCATACGGACACACACATATTGCACGACCGACCGGAGCGAGCAGATCTTCATTTTCAACGGCTCCAAAAACCGTGTGGGGGCAGACATCGAGACAAGACAGGCTGATGTCTCTCCTCAGTGCATCCATCCTTACGTAAACAAGCAAGCAGAGCAGAACGTCCGTACAACAGACAAAAATACTTGCGCACACAGGCTCTCGTGTAGCGGGAGAAACACAGCACTGCATGTTCTAGGAGGCAGCCACTGACGGAGCCAACAGGTGTTTGGTGTAGGCGTCATCTGGCCCTTGTCTTTTCGTGCGTATATGCGCATGCCTTCACGAGAATAACCACCACAGTCAAAACCCCGATACAGCAAAAATGTAAAACAGCAAGACGCTACTGTCATCGTCCGTTGAAATGTTGAACAACCAGCGGTCCATCCAATTAATTAAAGGGGTAATGACTCGCGAGTGCCATGGATACCTCCTGCATGATGGCGTGCGTGCAGACCTTCTCGTCGAACACATCGATGAGGGTGTGTGGGATGCCGTCCAGCCTGCTGTGCCCGATGTTGAACCGCGTGTCCTGGGGCGTGCTGCGGAACAGTTCAGCGTTTCGCGTGGACGACGCGCGACAGGAAAAACAAGAAGCAAAAAAAATAATCTCGGACGAGTAAGATATTTGACAGGTTGAATGTTTGAACATCATCGCGATGGTTCTGTAGTGGATCGTGTTAAACCTTGCAAGTTTATCAGAGTCACGAATTGGTGCCGAAAAAATAAACAGTATTGAATTGGAGGCATCCTCACTACCACGCGTCAAGGGCAACGATGCGCGCGCGATGCGCCACAGCCCAAAGCATGCGTGGGTACCGTATTCCGCACAAGGTATCACCCTGCAACCGAGAAACACGACCAACACGTGTTCGACCAAACACAATACCCACAGCAGTATTCTTGAAACAATAGAGGAGTAATCTCATTCTGCATGGCGGGTGCAGTCAACTCCTGCGGTTTTGTCGTGCCCTTGTCAAGATGTCCCTCTACGTCGTCATGTTCTTGTAATTCGTTGTAACACTGACATATTGTATGTCTTCTCTCGAAATCCACCACGAACTCCGACGTGTGGTTGTGCGTACTCGACCAATACTTCGTGCAGAGAACAGGTTACACCTGTATAACCGATTAATACACATGGGAGAAAAATACGTCGACTATTCAGCAGTGAAATCGTTTATCAATGAACGCCTACCGGGATCAACGATAGGTGCCAATACACCCGGTCGCCCCGGTGGTCTAGTTGGTATCCTCGAAACCTTCTAGAGGTCAGGTCAGGGGTTCCAATCCCGGCGTAAGCGAGCTTTTCTTGCAAAGTGAGTTTATCTCTCGCTTCCGCTCCTGGCCCAGTGGATAGCGCTAGTTCGTGTGTACACAGAGGGAATAGAGTACTGAACTCTTCTCGCGTTAAAAATCGAAGGCAAAGCACCGCAGGAGGGGAGAGTAGAGAGGGGCTCTTCTGTGTGACCAAGGGTTGGGGTAAACGGCACCAGTGCTGTGAGCGCTGATTTGAAGTGAAAAAAAAAAAACTACTGAAACGCCAAGGCATACCAGGTATTGGTGAACTCATATGCCTATCATGATAGCTTTTGTCCAAAACATTGTTTCTAAAAACTGGGTGAAAATCTAAACTTGCCGCAATCGTCTTCTTCCCTGGCATGGTCGCCCTCCATGCCTTCCCCGCTGCTGTCCCCCCTCGTGCCCACCCACTCCCCAAGTTAAATCTTCCGGCACCCATCGCCGCCGCCTAAAGCTCCCTCGTCTTCGCAGCAGAGCGTATACGTGCTCCTTGCCACCATGTATTTATCACCATATGTACTGCTCTCTAACTGCACCTCCTTCCAAACCCCATGAACGGTCCCGCGGCTGCGGTCATTTCCTCTGCGGGGTCGCTAGACGCGGTCGTGCGAGGTCGCTTCGCAACCCCCAAGCTGTCTCTGCCGCTTCTACCCGCCGTCGAAGTCGATCCTGACGCATGCTGGTCACGCAGCTCCTGCTTGACCGCACGGTGCACGCCGGATGACGGCTTAGGCCGTTTGGAACCACCTTTTGTTTTGACGTTCACCATGCCGGCCTTAGCGTGCCGCCGGCAAAATTCCCTCTTTGGGGACCCCTCGACGCCGTACGAGGGAGTTCGTAAACAGCCGAAGTGGCCGCACGTGGTCCTGCCGAGGTCGACCATTCCGTCCTCAGCGTGCTGGCTGCAGAACTCCGCCTTCTTGCTACCGGGGACGCCGAAATTAGCTCGCGTAGTACAACCCACGTGGTCGCACGTCTTAGCCCGGACGTGAATCATACCGACCTGTGTGGTACGAAATAGGCGCTTTTCAGGAGTTGTTTGAACCTTGCATACGCTTTCTGGTGTGGTGGCGTTCAGACGCGGCGTAGTTAGCTTTTTCTGAAATAACGTGTGCGTTTGCATGAAATTGGCCGTGTGGCAGCCCCACGAGATCAGAAAAGAAATCGCTAACCGGGCAAGTGGCAAAGGTCAAGCGGGCATGCGTTGAGTAGCAGTTCGATTGCAGAGATCGAAGCAGAGGTTGAGTTCAGCATGTGTATGCATGGATAGGTTAAACAACAACAGTGTTCAGTGCTGCACGGCTGAAAAAACAAACAAGCAAGTATGGGAAAGTTTAACGGGAACGCAGCCGTGTGTGGAAACCCCCGTGATCAGGCGGTTCGTTTGGCAACACGGTTCGCTCGGTAACAGGCCTCCGCACCTAGCACCGGCTCTAGAGGGCGAACGAGAGGCTGCACTGCCCAGTTTTCCACAGAGGTATGTAAACAAGATGCCAGGGCACATCAGGATGTTTAATACGTCCAGTTACGGACGGCAGGATGAAAAAGTTGGACTTTACAATAGCTGGGGCGTACCACCTTGCGCAGCTCCAAGGTGAGGGAGCGAGCTTCACACGCGAACCGACCTCTGCGCGAGGTGGCTGTTTTGCATCCCAACTATGCTGCCGCCATAGACGTATGTTGTATTGCCACCTAATACAAAAGGTTTGAAGCGATTATGTTTGGCAGGGGATAAGCATGATGTGTTCAAAATTCAAATTTCAGGATAGCCACGTCTTGGGTCCGAATGCACCCTCTTGCATGTTGCGCATGGACATCCAGTGGACACACCATTACCACCTCAAGATAAAACGGAAATGCCCGATACAATGATGCCAGCTCAGGACCAGACTATCAAAACAAGATACAGGTAATTTGGGCTTCAAGAGGGCAAGTACGACTGTCTTCAAGTTGAAATTATTCTCGGTGCTTCGCCAATATCGAGCCGAACATGACCCGGGGCGCTCAGCTACATGCACTCCAGACCGTGCACAAGGAGCAACAAGCCGCACCATCACAGCGTCGGGAAGATTAACTACGTAGTTAAACAGGTTCCAGTCCGTCATGTTCTCGGGTGCGTAAGCATGCCCGTACAGACGATCAGATCTACTGCATGGCTGTCATGAGGCAACGAAGAGCCCACACCACGAATAGGCGTGCGCCTGCGCAAGCTGTACGTGCAACGTAACATTATGTCATTTTTGTGGTATACCCTGGGCAGGTATGTAATGCATGGAAAAACGGCCGGCCTAGGTCGAGCTGCTGCCAGAAGAACCGTCCGAGACGTAGGCGGCGCCGGGTGAGCAGCCCCACAGCTCAACCTGGTACGTCACCGGCATTGTCTCGGAACCAGCCTGGGAGCCCTGCTACACCCGGAAGTGGGAGTACGCAGCCATTACTAGCCCTTCACCAGCTCACGGAAGGCACGCTATCCCCGCGTCAACCAGTGGTCAACACAGGAGGAGACGTCACAAGTGAACGTCCACGGAGCGGGAGTACGACAGAGGGCAACCTACCCACCGAGGTGCGCACCCCCATCGCCGCGACAAGCGCGATGCGAGAGGTTCCGGTGCACGCGTCCGTCGGACGGAAGAAAAGACCCGGTCGGGCAAGAAACACAGGAGGAGGCCCTCTGTTATCCCCGAGTGGCCCACCCGACCTTGAGAGCAAGCTCGCGGAGGATGACTACTACAAGTAACAGACCGAGGCGAGGAGGGAGGCATCGGCCCGTCAAGCTCGCGCGATTGCCAAAGACGAACGGCGAAAAGCAGAGTTTGCGGGGAGTCACCCCGTTGATCCTTGGCGTAGGAGTCACGGCGGGAACTCAAGACAAGCCGGTCATCAGCCAAGCAACGGGGATGCGGGTAGGAAACTCTCTGCCCGAGCGGTGCTATCTGTAGGCCAACTAACAGGTGAGAAGCGTAAAAAAAGCGTGTGAGCGCTTGGAATGCTGATGGGTTACACACAACCCTGGCACCGAGTGTATTCCCCAAGTCTAGTGCACTCGTCCGACGAGAAGCTATGTCGGCATGCCACAGGTCTCCAAAAGACGGAGGGTTCACGCATCTCCGCCCGGACCGGTTAGGGCGAGCAGCAGCTTTCGTGGCCGTGTGGACACAAGAGAGAAACCCTTGGCTCTAGCTCTTGTACGAGACGTTAGGCCCAGCCAGGACTGCATCTGACAACGGCAAGACTGCTTCCTACTAAGTTTTCTTTCCCGAGGAAGAATGGAAAGCAGAGTTTCGCCAATGCGGTAATTATGGGGACCGGAAATCGACAAGAGCCGCGTGAGGAGGTATCCCATGGATGCTGCAGGTGATCATGTCGCGGAGTGGAATGCAGCAGTGAGCAATGGTGTTTGGTGATGCGGCCGTCGCTATCACAACCGGTTGGGCAAACAGCCAGAGCACCCAGCGAACACTGCATGTGGATCGGGGGGGCGAGGCGCCGACACATCCAGAAACGTTGGACACGGTGCGCGCGATGGTGGATGAAGTCCTCGGTCGAGTTGAGATCCTTTACTAGCGGGACGTCGCCGATTGGCTAGCTGCTGGAAGCGTGAAGGTTGGTATGGAGGAGTTACAAGGGAGATACGCAAGAAAACTCGTCCTGGACTTGTTTACCAACATAGCCGTGGCGCCCGGGAGCAACTCACGAGTAGTCAAGAGTCGACGGAGCAAGGACAGACGCGCGCGAGCGGGAACTCTGCCTCTTCCCAGACTCTCTTCGGGACGAGCATTTCGTTAACTTGATGCTGCGTGCTCGCCGTAACGCACCCGCACAGCCACCATCCAACCCGACAGCGGATGAGGAGGGGTCTCTCGAGTCGATCCTGAAGCAAGTTCAGAAGGACAAAGAGGACGCAGACGCAAGGATCGACGTCGTGCGGGCAGCGGGTAGAATTGTTCGAGCCGACGTGGAGAATGAGCCTGTCCTCAAGAGCAACCCCGGGACACGCGAGAAGCTTCGCTACGCCGATGAGTTGGGTATGAAAGTGAAGACCCCCAGAGAGACTCCACTATCCGCGTTTCTTCCGGCCTTGGTTGGAATGCACCGAACATGACGGAGATGCCCCTGTGTCGCGAGATCACCGCATCAGAGACCGAAGATCCTGGAAAGCCCTGGGTGTGGCAGATCGCAGGGCGACACGGAAGGCACCCTGCCACCTCGGGCGGCGGGGAGGGCGAGGACGGTGATGGAGAAAAGAGGAACGAGGTCAGTCAAGGAGCAGTGACGATGTCGTTAGGGCCACGAACCGAGGAACAGGACAGGCATATCGACAGTCTTGACCGCGACAGGCGATCTACGCATCGTAGGCTTCTAGCGATGTGTACGGTAGTGGTTAAGGCCATTTCGCGTGGTCGGTACATGGCTTCGCACGACATCAAAGGTGCTCAGTGGGCAAAGTCTAAGGGTACGTGTCGGGAGGTGATCAACTCCGTCGCGGAGCACGGTTCGTGGGTGACGACATCGCAAATTCAGTACCGAGAAGATTTCCACGCGAGGTTCGTAGAGGACAAGGACCTTCTGAGCGAGGACGCAAGGGGAGGGGCCTCATCTTCCCTTCATCGCTGTGACGGCCTTGACGGTAGGGCCCGAGATAGGTCGAATGGACGACTAGTCGTTGGAAAGGAGCCGGGGATCTTTTAGGGTGGAGGACGTCATGATGGGGCCGGAGCCGAACAGGGATGAGGGAGCACGGCGGCATAACGAGTTTTTGGCGGAGTTCTTTCGCGGCGTAGTCGCTGAGGAGCGGAACAACTCCGACAGGTCCGGGCCAGACACATGCGTCGAGTCTAAACTCCGCAAGGCAAGACACTATTTTCTTATCTTCTTCCTGCGATTCCGGTTTTCCACGACCTATCTACTCCCATTGAATGTAAATTACCCAATGACATATATGGCGTTCGTCGATTCTGAGTCGCGCCCCTCGTATTTTTCCTCGAACGCGCAGACCATCACGCCCGAGGGCAAACCGCCGCAGCAACTGCGATCGCGTTCACCCAAAAGTAATCCGGCGATATGAAGCCAGCCATCTAGCGCATATTTGGTATCTGGCGTTGGCCTTCAGTCGGTAAGGATACATACTCCGTGGGGACGAGGAGACATACACCCACGCGCGAGTTCCGACAAGTCCGTCGCTACCCGGCGATTGGCATTTGCTGTAGGATATGGCCAAAGCGATGCTTCGGAGGTACAATGAGGTGCTGGCGTGGAGATCGTGGCGAAGGATTTGGGCACAGACGGGTCGAAGTCGAGGGAGGGGAGCAACTACCGTCGGGCACACCACCACATCACGACGTTTTGGGCGGCGTTTGTGGCTCTGCGTCGAGAGGAATACTTGAAGGGATTTCCGACGCCAGGTGACCAGCCAGTGGAAGATGGCGAGGTGGTCAAGGGTGATTCGGTAGACAGAGACACGGGCGGAGGCTCACAAGACTTTCGCCGTGTGGAAGAAGTTCCTCCTCTACGACTAACCTGCGTACATCGAACTGCTTTGCGTACGGGGAACTTCAGGCTGAGGCTGGATGCCCTTGGCTGTACCGCCCCTATCTTCTACATCACCGGCAAAGTCAAGACAAGTACCAATTCCTCGTGGTAGATCGACCTGGCGGAGGTGTCGCGTTATTCGGCCGCAGGTATGAGGGTCGTATCCGAGCTATTCTCCGTCTCACTCGGCCCTGATACGTTTGCGCGAATCGGCTTGGACGAGCGGCAGGAGGGGGCCAATCGTTTCTACAAGACATTGACGAAAAGGATCCTTTCGAGCACGATAGAAAAGCTGACACCGATTGCCCAGCTGCGTGAAGTCGCCATCTTCGACTTCGAATCGCAACTCATCGAGAAACCACGCACGGAAAGGGACCGATGCAGAGAGTTGTCAGTGGAACGTGCGCCAGTAGTCAGGGCGGTGACCGACTGCTTGAGAGAGAGAGCCCGGTATTTAAAGGCGACGATCGCAAA